TATATTTTCGCCCCCCAGGCCCTGATGTGGGTCAGTGACCTGTGCCTGAGTGGGCTGATCCCCGTAAAAAAAATAAATAAAAAAATAAAAAATAAAAAATAAAAAAACAGTACAGTCAACCCTCACTTTACGCGGTTAATGTAACCCACAGGGTACCGCGCAAAGTGAGAAACGCGTAAAGTGAATAACATAACATATGGGATTAAATGAAATAGAGACCAGCTGACCCCCAAACTCCACTTTTTCCAACACAATACCTATGTTCTAGTAAAAATAACATCTTAATTTAATGATGGTACATGCACACAATTAATACTTAAGAGAAATAGAGAAATACAATTGCCAAGTTAATGTCCATTCAAATGATGGACTCAACTCCCTCCCCCTCTTCTCACACTACACTCGCTGGCTCTTCCCTCTCTGAGAAATTTTGGGGGGAAAACCAGGTATCGTAATAAATAATACCTCAAACTAAAGTTAGGATAATATAATTGACATTGCTGGATTCCTTGTAAGACCAGGAATATTTTGAATACCCTGTATAAATGTCATATATTTTGCACAAAAGATAACATATTTACTCAGAGTAAACATTATATCTAAAATTTGTATGTCTAATGCAGAATCTATGATGTTTATATTCAAAATGATCATCAAATTGTAAGAATTCCAGCAATGTAAATTATATTCTGGCCGGGTAATTTGTATGAATTTTATGAGCTAAAACAAATATATTCAGTTAATAAAAAAAAAAGTATTCTTCACACCGTGCCAGATGGTCGGTCGGTCCCTCCCTCCCCCCCACCCCCCACCAACCTTCCCTACCAGATAAATGTGTGGGAAAACCAGACTATTTACCTTTTTAATAATAAATAATACCTCACACTAAAGTTAGGATAATATAATTGACATTGCTGGATTCCTTGTAAGACCAGGAATATTTTGAATATAAATGTCATATATTTTGCACAAAAGATAACATATTTACTGAGAGTAAACATTATATCTAAAATTTGTATGTCTAATGCAAAATCTATGATGTTTATATTCAAAATGATCATCAAATTGTAAGAATTCCAGCAATGTAAATTATATTCTGGCCGGATAATTTGTATCAATTTTATGAGCTAAATAAAAAAAATTATACTTCACCCGCTTAAAGGGGTACACGCACTGCGGAATTTGAGCATCCTGGTTTCTGGCAGGGCACCGGTAAACGTGGAAACGCAGAATGTGGGACCGCGTAAAGTGAGGGTTGACTGTATACGGGAGCACTCAAGGAAACAGCGTCATTTATCCTATTAAGAATATGTACAAAAGATTCATTATTGTTTACTACTGAGTATGTATTTGATTGAATTCATGTTTATATTTGCAAAATGAACAATACAATTCATTAATAATACGGAGAATATTAAAACACACAAGAGGAGACGAGACGGCATTGTTTTCGTAAGTGTTTACACCTACGACGATGGTTCTACATAAGAAACTGAAGAAAATAAGACCCTGGTTGTTGATGTAGTAAAATTAATGAAAAAAATTAATATATTTGTTTGAAGTAATGTTATTTAATGTTAATGAATGGAACAATAAAAGTAACTAACCACTAATGGCAAAGAAAAAAGCGAGATGGATTGGGAACGCCAACGTATGTAAGTGCGTACATGTGAAAACATATCGTCATTTCTCTACATAAGAATATGAAAGCAACACTTATTACTGCTCATATATGTTTTAAATAATACTTACGAATGACAAACAAAAACTCTACTCACCAATGGTGGTAAAGTCTAAAACATAAGGACAGCCAATGATGATGTGTGAATTTTTACTCAGATGAAGAAGTCATCAGGTTCAACTCTGACTGAAGCTGTAGGCTCAATTCTGGCTGAAGCTGTGGCTTTCCATAAAGATATCATAGCTGTTGCTGAAACTGTTACTGAACCTGTAGTTGCTGCTTATGATGCTGAATTTGATGGTGTAGCTGAAGTTGATGGTCTAAGCCTTCAAATAATAAAGCTGTCGAAAGAACCTTGCACAGCTGCTTTCTTTTTCTCATTATACATCTCTATACAGGGGTCATATGCATTTTTCATATCCCTGTTATTTTTAATGGTTCGTTCTGTTAATGGATCCACTTCAGAAAATATGTTCATTGCTTGCTCCATATAATATCCACAGACCTCTCACCTTTTTCATATCGTTTTAGCGCATCTAGTTTCTCGGCTAAGCTTATACACTTTCTTTTAGCTTTTGAAGCAGCACTACCATCACTTGCTCTCTTGCTCAAGTTGAACAGGGATGCAAAAATGCTGTAAGAAACATGAGAAAGTTTTTCTCTTTTTCCTGTTCAGATGCATGAAAACAAAAAGCCCACCAGCTGTGACTGTTTATACAAGTGATGCTGGCGTCACCACTCACAAGCCCAGCTGCCTCCGTGCACAAGACGTGTTTTTTTGTTATTTGTATAATACATATTGGGATTTAGTTATTATTTATATGAAAATGTAATTTTATTTTATTTTTATTCTATTTTTGTTGTAAATACGAAGAAAAAATTTTGTAGATTGAATTGGGTCCTAAATTAACCAGGTTCTTAAATACAGTATGAATCGTCTTTATCGGTGGCTTTCCTGTATGTAGTTTAAAAGAAAAGGCGGCTGAATTTCTCTGATGAGATTTTTTTTATAATACTGTAATACTCATAAAAATAATAATAGTAGTATTGATAATAATAAAACTACTACTACTACTACTACTAATATTATTATTATTATAATTATTATTATTATTATTATTATTATTATTATTATTATTATTATTATTATTATTATTATAATTTTGGAGCAAATGCTCTATAATTCTTTACATAGTTTATTGTCTTAAGCTAGTAACATCATTTTCTACACTCTGGAAACTACCACTTGCAAAACACCTGAAAGCTATTAACACAGACGTATGCGTTGGTACCGCATGAGACCTCCTTGCTGCTCGATCAATGTCTAACCAGAGTACAGTATATTTCTCTACATGGAAATCTGTATTACCGTAACAGGGTCCAAAGGATCCATAAACACCCTTTCTCTCCGAAATGTACGGTCATGAGCTAAAACAATCATTAATTACATCTTCACAGCTTCGCTCTCATCAGTGACACTTAAAGTATGTCTGGCAGCTCTGTGTGTTTTAGTAAGGGTTGTATAGTAGAGAAAACAGGAGTTACAAGAACTTATTTCCACTTTGCAGAAGCTTACGAGTGTTCGGGGCCTCCGTAACTTTTGCTGTACGATAAATTGGGTTACTGTCTCTATAAACTGTTAGTGAATCACCTATTCGGCCTTAAGATTGATCGTAGGGACTTATGGTTACCGTAAGTCATTAGTGAATCTGGCGCCAGCGCTCTTAGCAACATTTGTTTAACCTTCAGTCTTAAATTTGAACTTTGTAAAAACATGAAATTACAAAATTGTCAGTCCTTGAGTCACCTTAATCTTGCTGTAGTAGTAGTAACGTGTCAACTTAGGTATGCTTGGCACTGAAACTTTAGCTGCATATTTGGTCATTACAAATTATTTGTTATGGCATGACCAATTTTTCTCCTCTGGAATTTTATGAAATGAAATACTCCATACTTCACCTCTTGATGGTAACAGTATATGTATAGTCCAATCCATGCTTGAGAATCTGCTGCTATGATAGGAACAATATTATATATAAATTTTTTTTTTTTTACAAGCACTATAATGACATTATCTTTCATGACTAATCTGGTGATAGAGAAATATTATGTAAATGTATGAAGTTTTCCTCCTGCTTCAGCATAACCTACCCAACTAAATGTTTTCCCCTCTGAATAGTTTAACTGAGGATCATAAAATATTAAGTAGACACGATGTTATTTATACAAAAATAATACAGTATTTAAGCAGTAAAGTATTTGAAAACAATTTACTATATAGTACAGTAAAGCTTTTTATTAATAATCTTTTAGAGCATGTTGAATTTTGATCTGATGTACAGTATTAGTTACTTGTGGTATGGGAAGTACACACTACTAGTGCATTACAGTGTGATGAGTGTGTGCATGCTAGTGTGCTGTAATGTGGTACAGGTCCACCACCGATTTTCCGGCACCTTTGGTTCCTAAGCCTTGCCGGACCATCTGTTTTGCTAGATTAACAGAGGTCATATATAATAATTAAGCAATACACCTCTGACCCACTAGCTATACACTTCCTGGTATCTTTAAAGCATCATGGCTGCTAGAAACTTAAATTAAACAAATATTAAATGTAAATTAAATGATTAAATGAAATACAGGCTGTATAAATGATGCAGGTTTATTAATTACTTACAAAGAATGTTGCAGTACTGCTGCTCCCAGAGTGGCAATTTGTAGAGTTTTACAAATACAGCTGGAGGCTGTCAGGGTTGCTGTCTGTTTCATCTTGCCTTTGAAGCCATAGCTGGGGTATATGTGCTAAGAATCACACAAAATCAAGGGGCTACCACCAGCAACTGCAGAGTAAGCAGACAAATGTGAGCGCGGTAAACACGTAACTCCATCTGTGGCAACCCAGTAAACTAATCTGGAGGTTGTGAGAATTTCAAGTGCCCTTTCGTAATTTTGTCCAGATTAAAAGAGGTGGCGGACCATCCGTTCCCAGAAAATCGGTGGTGGACCTGTACTGTTATATGACTTGTAGAGGCTAATAGTGTATTCAAAGCCACTCTAGTAGTTGCAATGTGATGGTTTATATTAGCTCCCAGAGACAGTTGAAGGAAATCTAGATAATTATCTGTAGAAACCATGAGAAAGACCACAACACTTCATACAGTTTGTGGACATTGATTATTTTTTGCTCATAATTGCACCACACCTGTGGATTTCAGCCCATAACATCTGCCTCCTCTCTAGCATAACAAATTTGTCCTTGTAATATATATCATCATTATTTTGTGCTTTTGTTATAATTTGTTTTATGTACATCTTACAGGTTCCCCAGTGTGGAAGCCTCGTGATGTCTTTGCCTCAGCTGGTGGCAGCTCTGGCGGGGGAGGAGGTGCTGGCCAGCGAGGAGAATCATTAACACTTCCTCGTCCAGGAAAGGCCAGCGGCCGTGAGGACCACTTCCTGGTGTATGAGGAGTATGGCGGCAACATCTACATGAGTAGCAAAAAGGACACAGGTTCTACCAAGACTCTTCATTGTTGAGCCATTGCTCTTCTCCCACCCAGCGGTCCTCAACACTAACAGCTGCCTCCCCTCATCTGACTACGTAACAGCCACTTACTAACAGCGTGCCGCTCATAAATCAGCTTAGACCCTTCCCTAACACTAACGGCATCCTGCTGCTCACACTCACTGTGGATTCCTCCTCGCACGGAACTTTTCACCTTCAGCAAGTTGCTGATTCAATTTACTTTTTCTTTTTATTCCATAACCTTTGATAGGATTTAGGAACAGCTTTGATGTAGTGGAAAAGAACAGGATCAGTGTAGCACGATCCTGATGCCCACCATTTGTTTGTGATCAATACTGGTCGCACCTCAAACGCTTCCAATGCGGCGATGTTCACGGGAGATGCTCGTGTGGCCACAACCATATATCTTTTAACTTTTAATTTTCAAATGAAACGTGTACAATAAACTTAATGGTTATTCAGCAATTCATATGTTGTAAGGTATGAAACTCAAATGAGGACTAGTATTATCATTATAAAGAGATTAATAGACTTTCAAGTGGTGCTCCTGCATTTAACAACTCGAGTGAGAGAAGGTTGTTCTGAAAACCACTGCAGTGACTGTGCTTTAGCTATTTCATTGTGTTGTGACTAAGTTGTTAAGGTCCCAAACTTGTTTGTCCTGCGCTATGGAAAGCTTAGCTTTAGTCATGAACCTTGGTCATTTGTTCATTATAGGAACTCAAACATACAAGTTCATAAAGAGAACATAGAGTTGACCACTTGAACACCACTCACGCTTGAGTACAGAATTTTAACTTTATAGGTACAAGACATGGGGATAAATACTGAAAGATATTTTCTGCAGGTATTAAAAAGAGTCTCATTGTTGCTATATTGGAGTTGTTGCTTGTACAGATTTATGTGTAAGGCAATCAGTACTTGTGGAGTTTTGCTTTAGGTTTAGGAATGAATTTCTAGTTTGATGAATTTTATTTATGAGGTTGGCAGGCAAGTGACAGACAAATATTGTCTCGTAGGATAACAGCAAGTTTGATAGACACTTGTCATGTTTTTTATACTGAGAAATATAGAGATTACTGACCACCTTTCATATAACATTGCCATTTGTTGCAGTAAAGTGGAAAGAGAACAGAATTAGATATACCATAATAAAATATCATAATTATTCAGAAGCACTATTGTTTAAAAAAAAAATTCTTTGGTCATTCAATCAAGAAATTATTTATATTTTTTAAGAAAAAAATTAATTTCTACCAACTAAAGCGGTAGTCTTTCATTGACATTCTACTGCTTTTAGGTCCTTGTCTGTTCTCTGACCACAAACTTTAACCCCAGTCAAATGCTAAACATGAATCCTGTAAACAAGTTTATATTTTTGGTGGAATAAGTAGGAGAGATTATACTTCATATAGGGGTTGTCTCATGTTGAAGCACTGAATATATCTTTTACAGAGGTTTTGTTATATTGAAGCTCCTTCATATATCTTTTAAGGTTCATGAAAATGCATCATTCTCTTTATGTGTGTATAGTTGTGTAACACCTTCAATAGTTAACATATTCAGTGCCAAATAATGTTGCTAGTCATTAATAGTCAATAAGCTTACTATAGCAGTGTCAGCTCCAAGGTACTCTTTAAATCATAATGTTTGTGTTCTTAAGCTTAGAATGTAGCGAATGGTTGCGTCTTTTTGCTGAGCCTCTGCTAGGCAATCCTTTGCATTACTCCTGCGAGCCTTAAGGCATGCTCGGTGGAACACTTTCTCTATGTTGTAATCCACAGTAATGTAATTGTTGGAAGATTTATTAGGCGTGATATTTTTCACTAATTCTAACACTTACATTTGAGGACACTAAATGGATCATTGAGAAAGTTGTACGGAGAGTCAGCCACATCCCCAGTTCCTGAGGCTCGTCTGTCGCTGATTTACTCCTGCTTATAAACCCTGGGTGCTCAAAATTTGCCCGAAGAAAATTTATACTTCAAAAGCTAATTACATTTAAGCATCAGAAAATAAGGTTCTATGACAGTTCCTATGCCCTCACTGCATCTACTGCTTAATGAGTAGAAAACCTAAAGTGTTGCTTTCCCATTGCATAAATTTAACACTGTAAGGTTATTCCTGCAGGGTTAAATGATAATGGCCACCTCAAAAGTTTGAGTATAACATTTGTTTACAAGCAATATTTAATAGTTTGAAAAATACCAAAGATGCTAGAAATATCTCACATTTTCATTCAAAATCTGCAGTGAGTAAAGAAAAAACCCCAAAACAAAAAAAAAGAGAATTCTTACAGGTTTTTAGTGTGATGTATGTTGCAGGTAGTGTTGGGGTGAGCCAGGGTGTGCAACATTCTGGATAAAAACCTTAAGAAGGTACAGCTATGTCAGCACAATAGTTATCCATTTGTCATCCACAGAAATTAGGGTGGGTCTTGAAATATCTGATATTTGCTCATTTTTGCTGCAAACTTTGAAGATTTGATGCAGTATTGGAGTGTCTCAGAAATGAGAAGCAGGACCCAGTGGTCACCTTTGCCCACCCCTTAACACTCATGTTCATCACCTTCACCTTAGCTCCTTCATGAGTCATTCAGGAATCTAGCGTAATGTATGCGCTGTCCACAACTGTTATCTACACAAATGGACATTTGCACGATTCACTGTCTATGTAGCTTATTTTTTAAGTAAACTGAAGATATTTCTAATTATCTTTTAGAATTTCTTTATGAAAAGGAATAGTAAGTACAGTATGAATAAAAAAATGTGCAAGACATTCCAGGAGCATAGACATCAGTTTGAGGAGACTTTGTACGGCCATTTTATACTCGTCATAAGATTTTGCTGTTTATACTGGCATAGAGACAGGCAACATGTTGACCCAATGCGCTTTGTGTTTTGCTTTCCTATGTCTGTGGCTTGTGGCCGCCCACCCTCCGGCCACACTACCGCTGACCTCAGCTTACCCTATATGGCATCAGGACCTTTACCTGTAAGCCATGTGGTCAATAGGCGGCAGGAATTCCACTCACTCAGAGTGGTTGCCAGAAAATATCGAATAAGTAGAGATGCTGTTGTTGATTTTCACTTGTTACATGTCTTGGTAACAATGGTGTACATTTCTTTTAGTGTTGTTTAGACGTTGTCTAAGTACATTCTAATTAGTGGGTGTCCTTTTGACACTCGTTTTCTGATGATTCTAGGACAGACTGGCAGATGGCCACCCTCCTGTAGAGGCACGTACAATCATTATGTGTAGAGCTCCTGGAAGTACTGTACCATACCGTGAATGTCCTTTAAAATGGCTCAATTTCATATGGTAGAAACATCGAATAGCATAGCTCGGGGCCACCTGCCACTCTTGACTTACTGTGACAATAACAGCCTCTAATTTGAGCTGAAGGTCACCTAAAACTCCCTATTCCAGCCCTCACCTGTGCCCACACCTCTCAAATGTAACTTCATTTGTAATGCTGTTTTGTCCACATCTTTGTACCCTTCCCATCTTGAGGTCATGTAAGTGGGATCCAGGATTCAAGTTAATCCAAAGATCTACATCATGGGTAAATCTAGGCTATTTTCAATCAGTATTATTCATAAATATAAAATAATCTAAAATGTAATATTTATTTTAAATTAATTTTTTCTCTTCATTCATATTTTTGCAAATGGAATTTTTCCCTACCCGAAATATTTTCTTATAAACCTGAGCTTTGCAGTAGAGTGGCTTCTTGTATGTTTTTACTCACTCTGTCATCTTGAAACAACTTCTCAATGATAAAGATAACGTTTATTCATCAACCAAATTTTTGCTTTCAACCCTTACCTACCTCAATTAGCTCTTATCCAGATATTGAAATAAATTACTTTTCAAAACACCATCCCTGAGTAAGCTTCATATTTACATTCTGGTTATAACCCTAAAGCATAATTAGTGACTAATATATATCTTACCACCTCTTAAAATTCAAGCTTTTCCTAATGTTTCTCCCAAATTCTCATTTTGTAAAGTGGTTTGTTTGCACAATTTTTATTTATAAGATCAGGGTTTTATATATATATATATATATATATATATATATATATATATATATATATATATATATATATATATATATATATATATATATATATATATATATATATATATATATTTATTTATATATTTATTTATTTATTTATTTATTTATTTATTTATTTATTTATTTTCATAAGCTGTTGGCAGACCTCAATAATACCCCATCATTATTCATCTGTGTATCCTACTTCACTCCCATAATCACACTACCCTATACCTGAGCTTGGGTATGTCTACATTGTGCCTCTCCTTGGGTGCATGTTAGTACCCACAGCATTTGGCAACCCTCTACCCATCTATGGATGTGCCCACTTATTTCACCCTCCCACTGCCCACATTTGCCTCTTGTTGTCATCCCGTACACATCCTGAATGTTCTCATTCCCAAAATAATACTGTAATAGCCTATACACTTGTGTTAAATCTTTTGTTATATCACACCTGTAGCCCTCACCCTCCTCATCCTTTATGGAGTCTTCTCACTCCCATTGTTAAGGTTCTCATTGTCCTTAATTGTTGTCCCACATGCAGGACAATCTTTCTGGCCAAAGTGAACTCCTCACCCTCTATGTCATCTGTTTCTTTGGTAAATAGAGACCAACACAAGGCTCTGAATGATGTCAAGCTAGTGTCTGTAACACTTGACTACAAGAATACAGAGCATATATAAGATGTAATCGAGTGGTGCAGGACAGAGATGAAAGTTGCGATCCTGTGTTGGTCTCTTCTTTTTTCAGTAACCATTACGCTCCAGGGAGGGCTTCAAACAACGCTCAACCCTTCTATAGAATACTCAATAAGTTATCCCATTTTCAGACTGCAAGTAATATCATAGTTTGCTTACTTGTGAAAATATTTGACTTTATATCTTAGGAGAACAAAGTTACATCTGAAAGTGTTCAATAA